CAGGCTTGAAATGCATGACGAGCTAATGAAGACCATAATCAAGCTTGTTAAGGTATGTATTCAAAAAAAAGAAGGATTTATTGCGCTAGTCAGCAAGTTAATTCTTTTTAAATCTTTTAGCTATGTGGGCGTCATTTGGATGCTTCGCCCGTAACCGAGCCTCTTGTCAATCAACTACTTACAAAACTGCTTGCATTCGCGAAAGGTCATCCACAATTGAGCGAGTCAGTACATACTTTTTCAACATTTTGTAATTTTGTGTACATCATAGTGATTATTCTCAGGTCTGTGAAGACTCAAATAAACTGCGTTGTTGATTTGCGGAAGAGTGGATGGGGTATAAATTCCCGAGGAGGCGTTGCAGTATTTGATACGGCCACATCTTCTTCGAATCACTCTGTTCCATCGAGTGGAATCATTGTCGGTGACGATGGCGCTGCGCTGGATTTGGATGATGAGGAGCGATCCTTCCTGGAATCACATTTTAATGCCATTGATGGTAAGTTGTTCGTTTTAGTTGAGTCATTTCACGATGATATGTGCTAAGGTGTGGAAGAAGCGGACCATGACCAATCATTTGATGATCAGGAAGTAATGAAGGATTTTGTTAAAGAGGAAGAGGATCGAGAAAAAGTGAGTTTCTTACATTTTCTTTTGTGCTGGTCTCTTTAAACTTCCTTTAAAGTCACATTTGTATTCTACTGACCATATTTATCATAGGAGCGCAAATGTGCCTCGATGTTAGAAAAACTGAAAGTAGGCGCATCAGACAAGAAAACCGAGGAACCTGAAACCACTACCTCCTCAGTATGTTTATGATTAGTCAAACCTTCTAATTAGTTTTCAATGTTTCCAAACGAATGTCTTGTCCCGTGTGATATGTAATTTTCGCAACTTTTGTAGTAATTCACCCCCTGTGTATGTACGACACCCATATCGCTCGATGCATATGGACGTGTAAACTAATGATCTTGGGGTCGTCGTGATCAAATCTACCAATAACCGTGGCATTATGGTCACCCCCAGTCAGTCTTTCAGTCGTGTAAATGTTTTTATCCTCTGTCTGTTGTTTTCAAATTCAAATGACGTCGCTTGCGAAGATTTGCATAAGTATTGTTGCGCTATCGATTTCAGGGCAATAATTATATATAGGCATATATATATATATATATATATATATATATATATATATATATATAGAGAGAGAGAGAGAGAGAGAGAGTT